TAAACAGGTTTATTTGATCCTGGATAGCAAAACCTGGGATGTTTTAATCCAGATTTTTGTTTGGTTAGGTTTTAGGTATGACCATTATTTGACCTTCCATTCATCGCAGAGTTTACGGATTGAAGAAATTTTATGGCAGGTTTTTAAAAATCTGTCCATTCCAATCAAAGTCAGCTGATCTGTACAAACAGCACTGGACATAATGTTGACAATGACAGGCTTCATAACAGCAGAAGTTGTAGTCGGGATGTTTTCAAAGCAATACGCCTCATTAAAGTGTCTACTCCTTCGTTTTCACATCATACTTAAAGCCAGTGCAACTCCGTTTCTCACACGACGCTTCAGATTGAGTATAATGAGGACAGACATTTAAAAATCACCACCTACAAGGTTTTATTGAATCACGTGAAAATCTTGAAAGATGGGAGAAAAATTAGTCAATGCACTACAAATATTTTATGTTACATAGATTAGAGGTCTTCCATCCTGAACTCAAACATTGACTGTGCCCTACCGAACAAACATGACAAACATTTGCCGTAATTCTTAACACCCAGCTCTTTAGAGAATGGGTTCAAATCTATCAAAATATGCTTTGCACATTACAGTAAAACTTGGCATCTAAAGCAAACTAAATGACAAACAAAATAAAAACAAAAACCATATGGATACAGGTGTATTTCGTATTTTTTTTTTTTTACAAAAGGTAAAATTAATCATACAAACTGTTGAAATTTACACAATGTATCTGACAAGACGAGCATATTTTCACAGCAAACTTGTTTGCCAGACCCATTCCATTTTTCTCCTTCAGAAAAGCAAGTAAGCTGTCAAGGGCAAGAGGTGCAGGTTTGCATTCGGGACATTCATTACTCACACGTAGCACTTAAGCTGAAAAGGTCAAAGTACCATTCTGGCACAGAAGGATGTGGAAGGTTTGAGGGGTCTAAATAAAGGGCTAAAATGCCCATTAACAGTTAAATATATACCAATGACGCTTTCTGGAATGTCCAAAAGCTCTGAAAAGTGATGAAACCAGAGTCCATTCAAAAAATAAAATAGACTAAGGCTTTAGTCGTCGAACTTGATTTTCTTCCCCTGGGGTTTGGCTCCAAATCCTCCACCTCTTCCACCTAAAATGAGAAAAAAAAAGAAGCTTAATTTACTGGCCAGTATTTAATTCACCAACTTAAAATGATTGAAGGGGACAAAAGGAAATGGAAGGGGATAGACGTATGATCGAGTCCAAGCGCTAAATCTGATACATTAAATACAGGCAAGCGGACACCAGATCCTTAACTTCGTCCAGCTATTCGCAATGAAAGTCATCTCTTGCTGCTTCTGGCATCGATTAAACCTCTAAGCTCATGTTTAACAAAATGTGATATCTATAAAGGTTTTTCAGTGACTATAATCCGTTAAGCCTGAGACCGTTCCACTTCCAATGGCTGCCTTCAGTTTAAACATACCTGCTCAGATTCAACTGAAAGACTAAAATCACTCAATAGTATGGTGTAATATCTGAGTAATTCAAACAAATATTTGAAATGGAAACTGATTCTAAAATAATGATGATGATGCGTAAAGCTCTACCCCTACAAGCTGGTTTCTTGGGTGTATCAGATATGAAACTCTGACTGTCTAAATCTGTGTTTTTGACAACAGTCGTCAGTAAACGGCTCGGCCATGGCACCGACTGCTTATATCGCTCATGGTCTGTCCCTCAACAACTGATGCCCGTCAACATGATGGTTATTTGCATTTGAGGTGTCAAAGTAGATAAACATTTACCTCCAAAACCGCCACGTCCGCGTCCACCTCCACGAGGACCGCCTCTTCCTCCTCCTCTGCCGCCGAAGCCGCCGCGACCGCCGAAGCCGCCCCGGCCTCCTCTGCCGCCGCCGCCACGGCCGCCGAAGCCGCCTCCGAAGCCACCACCGCGGCCCCCACGGAAGCCGCCCTCGCCCTTAGGCTTGGCGTAGTCCAGGGTCACCTTGCTGCCATCGATCTCGCCGTCCTCCATTGCCTCCTTAGCTGCTTTGCAGTCATCCTCGTTGTCGAAGTCCACGAAGCCAAAGCTGCAGGGCAACACAGCGGGGGGGTTAGCTATGCTTCACTTTAACAATCATGGAAAATCAACTGATTTTAAAAAATCTAAAAACTGCATTTCCACTAACAATGCTCGGTACTGCAGCCAAAATGGTAACTAGTGACTATTAATACATTTCTAAACACTTTAAGTTGTGTTTCACATCAGACATGGGCAACTCCCACTAAGGTAGCTGCCTGTTTAACTGCGAGTTTGCTCTACTTCTCATGCGAATCCGTTCACTGTCACTGTTGGACAGAGCGGTGCTCACGAGAAGACTTAACTGAGGGAGTGTTTGCATGTCTCAGAACTTACCCTTTTGAGGACCCTGTGTCTCTGTCTGTGACTATCCTGGCTGCAACAGCACCCTCAAAGGATTCCTTAAGGGTCTGATCGGTAGTGTCCTCAGACAGCCCCTTGACAAAGAGGGTTTTTGTTGGACCTGGTAGAAAAGAAAAATCATTCAAATTTACCACAAGGATCAGTATTTGTACAAACACACATGCTTCAACAAGCTAAGGGCTTATGCTGGGACCAGATCAGGACTTGACTATCTTTATATCTTCACAGAGTGTCAGGAGTTCAAGTTTTCATCACATCTGGCCAAAACAATTTTTGGATCATGTCCAAACTAACAACTCCAGTTTGTAGACGTACCTGCGTTTCCCCTGCCGCCATCTCTTCCACCGCTGTTCTGGCTGTACTCCAGTCGGATTGACCGGCCTTCGATGTCTGCGTTGTTGAGGTTTTCCAGAGCTTCCTTAGCATCATCTGTGGTGTCAAACTCAATGAACGCAAAACTGAGGAAAGAAGAGTAACATTGGGGAAAAGGGGTCAATGCAGTTATTCACATAGAAAATAAATGAACCACGCTTTATTATTATATTATTCCACAATCAGGCATTTCTACTTGTTGCACAGCAGACATAAGCGACGCCCACATGAAGACGGGGCAGGCCTGTTCTAACTGTGCTTTGGCTCTGCTTCTCGTGCGAATCCGTGCACAATCATGGGTAAGACTAAGAGGAGCTCATGAGAAGGATAGCAAAACCATAGACGGATGCAAAACCGTCTCTGGACCTAAACGTGTCACGTTAGTCGCCACATCGATACTCACCCTTTAGGCCTGCCATCTTTCTGTGGAATCCTTATAGAGACAGCCTTCTCAAATGTGGATTGTAACACTTCCTCAGTAGCACTGAATGCAAGATTATTTACTACCAGCGTTTTATTGACGGGTGCTGCTGCTGCAAGAAGAGCAGAAAGGAGACTGGTTAGGCAAAGAAAAAGCTGCTTTTTCCATCATGATATTCACAAAAAAAAAAGACATTAGCGTCATAGCTGGCCAATTGCTAACACAGGCTTAATTCAGAAGCATCATGTTGTGTATACCAGTCAGCATTATAATCATAATTGAAATAAACGATTACTGGTCTTTAACTAAAGGTAGTGGCTAAAATGTTTCAGTGAGTAACAGAATGACTGATCAACATGCATCGTTATCCCAAGGACAAGTGGCACTGCTCAGCAAACACACACATATATAATAATTAGCCATGTGCCCAACTCGTTATACAGTTTAACTACCAACACCAGACTGACAGCTTCACAGTCGAGGAGTTTACCTGACACTTTGGCTCCTTTCTGGCTCTTTTCTCCAACAAAGTCGATCATTATGGACCTTCCCTGTACGTCAGCTCCCTGGGCCTCCTCCAGCATCTTCTCTGCTTCAGCCTCAGTTTTGAACTCGATGTAGGCAATGCTGCAAAGCGGAGAAACGGTTACACGTCTACGACAAGATCGCAAATTAAGAATCCTTGACAGGTTTGAGTACCAAGTAGATATACTGCATTCAACTAAATAAGGAGAGCCATTGTGCAACTATGACTAGAAGTGACCGCCAACTATCAGTAAGTCAGTTACCTATGCCATCTGTGGTTCTGATCCAAGGCTACCTTAATATGACTCAAAGAGATTTTGGGTTTCCTGTATAATTTCCCCCATCGGTATAATTTTTACTAAGAAGAGACAATGCGACATGCTGGCTTATCCTCACCCTCTGTTTGAGCCGTTCTGGCCTGGAGGTAACCTGACCTCCACGGCATCCTCAAAGACTTCTTTCAGGTCATCGACGGTCGCAGAGAAGGGAAGGTTCTTGACAAACAGCGTCCGTGCATCCCGCTCTATGGGCCAGATGGAAAAGTCAGCATGACATCGGAACCAACTTCTTTTCACTCTTTTGAGAAACTTAGATTTTTCTCATTTTTTACCTTTCTTGCCCTCCTGTGAGGTGTCTTTGCTACGGGCTCTGTCCAGCTTCACCTCCTGACCCATGACCTTCTTGCCGTTGAGCTCCAGTGCCTTCTGCAGGTCCTCTTCAGATCCAAAGTCAACATAACCAAACTTCCTGTTGGGGTAAGTCATAAAATAACTATCAGACAGTCCTGCTTCCCTAAATCTGGGTTTTACAAACAATGTCCCAAAATGTAAATAATGGTAATGACACAACACTTTAACCTGCCAGTGTATGTTTGAAGGATTAACAATTGACTCTTAGCACATTAATAGATTATAATGAATGAACTCTTATCTGGATCTAACTTTCTTAGATGACCTTGGAGGCAACACCTCAAACAATGCTCCCGCTATAGTCACTACAAAGAAACCTTGAAAAGCTTGAGTGACAGAAAGGCAGGTTTAAGATATAAGAAAACGGCTTCATCCCTGCTCACAGCCAAAGGGATAGGTAGTTTGTTTGAAATGTTTTAACATGAGCACTTACTTTGATCCTCCTAACCGGACATCGGCGACCTCAAGGTCGTTCTTGGAGAAGAACTTTCTCAGTGATGATTTGATCTCATCAAAGTCTTTGGTGGAGTTCAGGTTTCCAACAAATAGACAGAACCCTGGCAAAACACAACACACTTCAACTCAGTTTCATTGTGATCAAAGAACTGCAGTAATTATTATACACAGTCATGCCAGATGAATTCAGAATAATAAAGGTGACATCACACATCAGTATTAAGTCCCTTGTTTATCATCATAAAAGGCTGAAATCTGATAAATGGGCCACTGCATTCATTCTTACCTTCTCCATCTGCCTTTGCTTTCTTGGCAGGTGGCGTGTCTTTCTTGCCCTCTGCCTTCCTCTTTCCAGGTGTGACGGGGGCATCTGTTCAGAAAGTTGTAGTATTAAAGTCAGCCAGCAAATACAGAAGGAAGAGACTGATGATAGACACAGAAGGCTAACCCTGCAGAAAAGCAGTAGACAGACTTCTTCTGACTCAACAGAAAACGCATGAAAATCATCACTTTTAATTGCGGTAATTCACAACAAAACCTCTGGAATCCAACTAAAAGCCACAAGACAAGAATGTAGCAGCGATTGAGGATAGAACCGGCAGACGATGGAACACACACCGGCACCGAAGACATAGCGCTGCATTTGTTTTTCCTCCGTACATTACACACATG